CCCCCCCAAGTGTGTTTTTTAAGCTTTTTCTCTTCTCTATGTTCTCACCAGTGCCAGCGTCAGAGGTTCAAAATGCCTGGAAAGTTACGACCACCTATTTCTACAGCATCTTCCAGTTAAATTGTCTCCAAAGGATTTATTTGTTTACTAAACATACGTGCATAAACATAGTAACTGTATTAACATAGACATATTCACCGGGGAACAGTGCCTGGTGACCTAATCTCGCTGTGATCTCTGATGTGGAGGTCTCAAATAATAGAAGATTATTCTATCTGAAACTATAATCTGAGTGTGGAGAGAAGAGGGCTGGGAAAAGAGTGCAGTCACGTATCTTTCATTCCACCTTATTTTTGTAATCTCCCCTTTATGAGCTAGGGTTATCGTAATTTTTTTTTTTTTAGATTCAGATTACTTGAATACTGGTGAAGATGAGCAGCCACTTAAATACAAATATGGCAACAATGCACACACCTGTTCATATATGAAATTCAGGCTAATATAATTATGCATGCAGTTAAGAAAAAAGTGTTTATCCTAGAACGGGTTTCTGTGGAAGCTGGTTTTGTTACTTAGGTCTCAGATTATCAATATTATGTCAAGAAATTTGAAAAATCTTGTTTTCAGGTAGTTTTAGGGACTAGACCACAGTTCTTGAGTTTTGTTGCTGATTTCTTCAATATTTCAGAAAAGGTGAAGGATGGAGTTTTTTTGCTTGAGGCATGACCTGTAGAATTTAGCAGCGGTGCCTGTTCAGTTCAGCCAGTTGATTAGAGAAGAGACGTTGTTGGTCACTTGCTGTGCCTTTGCTATGCCCACCTGCTATTGTGAGCAGGCAGAATTTTTCTAAGTGGCTCAAGTACGTTGTTTTTTGAGCAGACAGAGCGAAGGAAATGCATAATCTGCCATGTACACCCCTCAGATATCTGCGAGTCCTTGTTCTGCAGCTGATGGCTACCTTAACAAATCCCTTTTGCTCCCAGCTGGCTATGATTCTGCATTTCTGAATCTTGTTGAAACTTTTCTGTCCCAAGACTGACCCACTTGTTTGTCGGTTTCATGGATTTCTGGTTTGTCCTTTGAGGTCTCTTTGAAGGAAAGGATTGCTGTTTTCTGTGTACTTGTGGATCACCAGCAACAATCTGTCCTGTGTGAGCTTTAATCTAAATGTTAGTAATGTTAAATAATAATTTTATTATTGCTGCAACATCTGTTTGTTGTGCATAGTTCTTTGGTGTATGCAGAGGGAACAAGCAACAAATCTAAATAATTTGTTTCCTTTTAATAGCCTCTGGGATAAAGTTAGGTGTCAGACCACAACCACAGAGTGATTTATGCCTCCCTACTTTAGACTGGAGTGAATTAGCATTTAGTCAGGTTGTTCTTTTACTTATCTTCCGTACTGTAAAGTGATATATGCAAGAGACACTCCGCAGGGTGATAATAATCCAGATTGGGTCTGTAATACTGATTTTATACATGTAGTGTAGCTTTGCATGCCCCAAGAACATAATATGCACTTTTGCTGCCAAATTTTCCCCTTGAGCCAGATTTGGAGTATCTGCACTGGTCACAAGAGGAGCTTTGAAAGTGCGTTGTCTGTAGTAATGAGCTGTCCTAGGATAAACTGCAATTCTGACATAAGGCTTCTTCCACTACAGTAATCCCATTGTGGAATTGTCCCAAAAGAATATTTCTGGATGCCTGGTTGTGTGCACATTTTTTGCTGCTAGAGAAGATTTTACTTTTTCATTTTTTAAGGTATAACTTCATATGCAAATGTTAGAGTTTACTGATGCAGAAACACGAAGCAGACATAAGGAAGTGACTCATGCTTAGTTAGTACTCTTGGGGAAAAAGACATTTTAAAAAACTTTTTAGTGGAGATTATTCTGTCGTTATGGTATTACTCTGTTATAGAACTTCATGTATATCTTTATGCATGCAAGATGAATTTTGATTTGTATTGACTCCTTCTTTAGCTAGTTTTCAGAACCAGAAATTGAGATCATTGCTGTCCATAACAATGTTATACTGTGTGGGAGATGCAGGAGTAGAATAAACATCTCATTCCTGAATGATACAGTCAGCTGAGAACTCTTTGTTTTATGTGGAATCATAGGATTCCCTTCCTGCTCCTTTGTGCCTAATTTTCAGTGTGTTTACATTGGAATTAATTTGCCAATGTTTGTCCGCACTGAATTTCATATGCCATTACTGTTATCAAAAGTGAACTTTACGTGATATCTGAAGACTCTATTTTTCATGCTCGGTTATAAGTTATATATATCTGTCCTTTTTTTTTTTTTTTTTTGTGTGTAATTGCATTTTCTTAGAGATGAACAACCCCATAAGTTACTAAATACAGAAGGCTGAACTCACTTTTTTTGCTATTCCACATACAGCGTTGAAGTGTTTTTGCTGATATGTTGACAAGGAAGAAGAGCAGCATTCTTAAGAGGGTTATATGTCAATATTAATTTGCTGATAATTAGAGGAATGTATACTTGATATGTTGCTTGTGTATAATGTCTATTAGCTGCTTATATCAAAAACTAAGACCCAGTGTGTTATTTTAAATATATTACAGATGGCCTGGAAAATGTACAGCAAAAGAAAATCTTGAAAGAGAATAAGAAAAGCACACAACAGAGAAAAGAGCCATGGCCTGCTGATTCGGTAGAATCTCTGATGGCAGAAATGCCGTTTGTCGACACAGATATTGAAGATGAATTTGTTAGTAAGTATATTAAACAGAAGTAGTGTGGAAGTGTAGACACATCACGCACTCAGTTCTTGGTCCTGCCTGTTGGCAGGTACATGCGGGCTGTGCACATGGAACAGAGTCTCCCTGTGAAGAGGATCCAGTCCAGAGCCTCTCTTATTAGTACTCAGTCCTGCAAATACTTGAGCATATTAAAAATTCACCATTTTGTGATCCATTGCAGCAGTGAGTCACAGAATGAAGACGTCTTATATGTCAATTCACAATATTGTATATGAGCTTCTCATGTGGTGGCTTTTATGCGGTATCTTCCACTGTCTGTATTCCCAGCATGTGGCTGTAAGTGCACCTCTAACTTGACAGTGGATGTCTGCAGCCTGGTCAGCTTATGGGTATGTATTAGGCCACATGGTGGGAGAGGGTCTGCAAAGTCTTGAGGAAATGAGCTGGGAGAAAAATAATTTATGGTGCAAAGGAAGAATTGAGGACATGCACTTTTCTTTTGCTGTCTGTGTTGAAAGGGGTCTTTGGGAAAGGAGGAGGTAAAGAGTAGATCTGGCTTGGATTAAATTTTCTTTTGGGCTGGATTTTGGTTCTTGAACTATAGGTTGGCCAGTCCTAGTCTAATACAACCTTAATAATCCTATGTATTATCTTGTTCTATATTTCAAAATACAGCATGCATGGGATTTTTGAAACTTAATATTGGCGCTTTTGCTTTATGGTCACATCCATGGTCTAGTGCAGACAATTTGCAGACCTATTCTACTGCAGTGAGTTGGCTAGATGAAACAGAGTACTTTGGAAGCTGCATATCTATGTTAACAGCTTATAAGCCCTGCTTAGAGGTGGAGGCTGTTAGTTCCAGTATGGTACTCCACTTGTGTGACTACATTAATTCAGGCTGGAGTAGCATCCCAATCAGACAGTTCAGAGCATAGGCAGGTCAGATGACTGGGAAGACATGCTCCAGTCAGTTGACTGAAGTCCAGCTCCTGTTGGCATGATATTAAGTCTATCTTTGTTTTGATTTGTTTGTATGCTGAAAGTAATTTTTTTTCTCTTCAGTGCATGCAACCTCTGAAATAGATATAAAAAAGAAAAGGAAGAGAACTACTGGAAGGGAAACTGAAGAAAGCAGTGAGAGAAAGAAGAAAAAGAAAAAACAATATCAGCCGAATTATTTCATTTCTCTTCCAATTACTAATCGAGAGGTGATATTCTTTATTATACTAATTTGGTATAACCAGAATTACATCAACAGCTGCATGTGTTTATAGGAAGAACAGTATTTGATCTTGAGCAAAATAATTTTTTTCAGGTATTTTTAAAGGAACATTAGCAGCCTATTCAAAGAGTAACTTTATTTTATGTAACATTTTTGTGAATAAAATTGCTTATCTGGAAAAGACTAGAGGAAAAATACTTATCTTTTTATGCAGTTTGTCAGCCTTACGGATTTCACATTATTTTGACTGAAGCTGACTTAAATTTCCCCTCTGTACTGTTCCAGTATTGCTTATTTTGTCATTCACTTAGAAAAGGAAAAGAGACATTCTTATTTAACTTAATAAGAAAATCACTAGCAATATTTTTAGCAATTCTTATAGATAGGAATTTAAATTTGGATATGTTGCTGTTTTAACTAGGCAGTTCGTAGTTTAACATTTTCCACTAAAATTGATCATCTTATTTAAAATTCAAACAGCCTATTGTTTTAGTGAGCTGTTGTTCAAATGGATTCAAGAATCGCAGCGAGCTCTTTAAGAAAATATATTTTCTTGTGGTTAGCATGTGTTGTCTCATTTAGACAGTGAATGAGAATGATTTCTTACATTCTGTAGGATGTCTCTGCTTTGGCTTTAATAGCTTTTGTGTCTGCAACCAAGGTAAGTAGGTGCATTATGTTTAAAAAGTTAAACCCCACAGTTTACTACTATTTACAAATTTAGGTTTATTTTTTAATACCAGGAGCTATCTATCTCAGGTGAATTTTAACTCATCCTACATCTGTACACTGTGTTTTCTGAGAAAGTCAAAGATTAAGGCAATCCGAAATTAAAATAAACCAAAGTAGATTTGAAAATTACAGTGCAATCTCTGATTCTTCAAAACATACTATGTGAAGAAGAAATTATAGAGACTGGTTTTATAAGATCCAGGTTAGCCTGACACAAATATTGTGGGAGATCGTTTGTACCACCTTACTCTGAAATATCTTTTCTTCCTATCTGTTCCATGATTTAACAAGTGCAGGAATAATGTAGCCATTATATAATCTCATAATCAAGAATTTTTGCTCACGATTGTTATTAAGTTGAGTGGCTGGTTGAGTGGAAAAGTCTTAATTATGCATGCTTTTTTATATGTAATTTATTTAGTCTTATATCATTTACAGAGGTAAAGGAACAACAATATAAATCTCAGAGCATTTGGAAATTCCAGGACTTTACTAGAGAGTTTTGTTTATACTTGCCTTAGATGTAGAGTTGTTCTGAAAGTAGAAAACACATGTTGGAGTTTGTATAGGCAACGTTAGCCAAAATTTAGACTTAAGACACGTGGTTTCTTGATAGCCAGAGGGAATCTGGTAATTACTGGTAGTACTTCAGTTAGTAATGAGAGACCTTTCTTTTTCTGAGGATCTGATTTTATTCCACTGAAGTGTTTTAGGCATTAGTACTCTTTCTTCCTATTTTATGTAGTATTTTAAACTTTACACAGAGAACCATTTTGTAATAAGGGATATTTCTGGAACATGTAATGAACTGTTCCTCTTGGAAATTAAACAGTTCCCTTGTTTTCATTTTAATTATGTTTTAAATCTTTGGAAATAAAATGTGGTGTTCCATTGGGTTTGAATTTATGTTGAACTTTGCATTATTAGTTGTGCAAAAATAGTTAAATGGATGATTATCATTGTATCCTTTTCTGGTAATTTTTTTTTAAGTCAAGTTTCATCTGATGTGTTACCACTTGGTAGGTTAGTCTTTCAGGGTCCTTCAGTCTTGATTATAATTGTAATTAATCTGTTAAATCTTTAAAGCTTACATTCTTTATATTCACTTACTAGCAGTATCCTTGCAATAAGCAAAACTAAGTTATTTTATTACTCTTCAGAATAACATATTCCCAGTAATGGGAGAGGGGACCTTGAAATCAGTATTTGAAGCCTTATTTTGGAGCACTTTTTAGAATAATCAGAGGGGGGAATTGTTGAGTATGATCTACCTTCAGACATTTCTTGTAGTTAAGTTAGGAAATCTCAAGTTAAAAGAAACAGCACGATACAGTTGAAATGTAATATAAAACTTTGTAAGGTAATGTAAATAGTAGGTTAAATAGCAATTTAAAGTTTTTGTTTGTGCAGTGGGTCGTAACTAGTTATACAGAGGTGTAGGAAGAGTCCTGGTTTGCTTAATTAAAATTCAGCGCAATCAACTGTTAATTGCACCTTACATTTATTGAAGAAAACAAAATGAATCTGATGTTATATTAAGCATGATGATGGCGCAGCTATGCTACAGCTATTGTGTTACCTTTTGATCACATAGCTTCTGGGAAAACATATTAAAAACAAATTCCTGAAATTCACAAAAATATAGTTGAAACCTTTTTTTCTTCTTTCCGAATAGTGTAGATTGTGTAGAATATCGTCACTTAGCCAGAGAGAGAGAATGTGCTCAATCTTCTTTCTGTTTTGCCTTTATCAAAAAGGTAGCTCATTTCATACTTTCCTGGTGGCTTCAGCAATAGTTTATCCCTGGAGCTGCTAACTGGCCATCTTTGGAATTAATCCTGTTCCAAAAGTACGTTATTAGTTAGGTTTTTAGCTTGGTTTCCTAATGGGGTTTACACAGGTGTGAGCCTGCCTATCCGTTTGCCTTGTTATAACCCCATTAGGATTTTGTGGGTTTTGAACCTGCTGTGGGGTCTCAACCTGTTGTCCAAATTTGGATAAAGAAATTGACATCTTGGAAGTACTAATTTCCTACAATTTTTGTGGAACTGGTGCTTGTGTAAAAGAGAGAGCCTTGAAAGAACATGCTTGTGTTGAAGACTGTAGTGTGAGTGTGGCAGTTACCTATTCTTCTAGACCTGCCAGCTGGCAAATTAATATCTGTATGTTTGTTAGCCAATCAACCCCTTATAGCTGAAAATCAGCCACAGACATGTGTTGCTTCTTGCCCAAGCCAGAACTGAACTATATAAGGCAGCTGGAGGTAGTTGAGGGCATAAGCAGGAAGGGACTCGGAAGTACTACTGAAGGAAACTGTATGGGTAAGAGGATGTGGGGTATTGGCTACAAATCTCAATGCTGAATAACACTGATCTTTTTCAGAGCTAGGACAGTCTTACTGCTACGGTAACACAGTTCCACACCTGTCTTCTGTATTCTGAAGGGCTTGTATGCTTACATTTATTTTTTTTTCTTTGCCTGCTCCCAGGTGCAATTTAAATTTAGAAGCAATAGTTGAAAATGGAATAAAATTGTAATTCATATGCTAGGTGATTTAATTTTTGAGGTTTTTTTTTTCCTTACAGGGATAACTGCATTTGTTTTAGTTTATAAGCTTAAATAATTATGCAGTCAATACATTGTAATTATTAGGGATTATGTTTACCAGTTTTTTTGCTTAAATGTGGGTTAAAATTTTCCTACATGTGAGACAATAAAAGTGTTGTTTATCCAGGATAAGATCAGTTCTGACATATAAAGAAAGATGGTCTTATTACAACATGATTTATGAACAAAATGTTGGTCCAATTTTCTTCATGTATCTTACACTACCTAAGGCACTTGTGGTTTTGTCGACGCCATATCACCATTTTCTTGAAAGTGACCTTCCTTTCTCCTCCTCACTCTCCCTGGAGATGGTTCCTTTCAGTTTGGTTTTATTTATATGGCACTACTAAACACCTACAGCACATTAGCTAAAACTCCTGCATGGCAAAACCCAGCTTAAGGAATTCAGTCAGCAAAATACTGACCATTCCCATTAGACTGTATTTTTTCATGAAATTTATGTGTTCCTTATGATTAACAGAGCTACCAAAATATATCAAAGCTTTTTTTTTTTAATCTAAGAGCTATTCTAAATGTTATGTTATATATGACATATTATGTTATAAAAGTCAATATGTACAGTATATTTCTGAAGCATCCACCACTGAGCTTCAAATAAAGAAAAAAATCAGACTGAAGTTTACTACATGCTTCTTCTAGACTGTATAAACTAAAGCTGATTTGTTTGCAACGACTTTGCTTACTGTGCTTTAAGAAATGATTCATTTTGTCAGATGGTCAACGTTACTGGATTTGATTTAATTTCCACTAACATATTCAAGAATTGTTGCAGTTGGTGTTTTTTTTTTTTTTTTTTTGTTTTTTTGTTTTTTTTGTTTTTTTTTTTTTTTTTTTGTTTTTTTGTTTTTTTTGTTTTTTTTTTTTTTTTTTTGTTTTTTTGTTTTTTTTGTTTTTTTTTTTTTTTTTTTGTTTTTTTGTTTTTTTTGTTTTTTTTTTTTTTTTTTTGTTTTTTTGTTTTTTTTGTTTTTTTTTTTTTTTTTTTGTTTTTTTGTTTTTTTTGTTTTTTTTTTTTTTTTTTTGTTTTTTTGTTTTTTTTGTTTTTTTTGTTTTTTTTTAAATCACTGCAGTACAATACAACTATCATAATAGCAAGCATGGTAAACATTTTGGATACAATTTATAAAGCATGTATAACCATACAAATAATTTCAATGAAAAATTGTAGTTAAAATAATTTTAAAGAAGATTGATGAAGTTAGAACTGTATACGTGTTGGTTGGAAATTAATTAAAATACGTGTGAAGAGGGTATATAAATTATATCTGTCTATTGGACAGTTAAATCAGAATTGTGAATCAGATATCTCTACAAATTATTTACTGAATATTCCGGTTTTGTATGTGCCTGATCCTGGAAAGATCTCTTCCTTTTTCCAGACACTTTTCTGCACATAGCAACATAACAAGTTTAGCACAGCGGGCAGAGAAAGTCCTTGAAGAAGCATTTTATTTGGATTACTGGCGGTGTAAAACTGGATGATCTTAATCTGCTCCAGGAATTTATCATACTTACAGAAGCAAACTCCTATTAAGATGTGATGGGGAGTGTCCAATGATTTATTAGCACTCCATTCGTACCCTCTTTGAGTTTACTCGGGTCAATTAGCACAGCTTTGTCAGAGGATAAAACTTTCTTCTGCTAGAATGGTTTTTACATAAATGTTTGATTTCAGTTTGTGTGCTTTCTTGTTCGCTTGCATGATGGGATACAGTAATTGTAATGGCTAACTGTTGTTTCTGTGTCTGTCTTTCTTGCCAGATTACTGGCAGTATTCAGGCTGTCCAAGACGCAATAACACAAAAGGATCAAAGGCTTTCTAAAGCAATGGTTCACCCTGGCTCGTTGCATGTCACCATGTTATTGATGCATTTATCCAATGAAGAAGAAATTAGCATGTAGGTATTTGGTGTTAAATTATGTATATACAAGTATTTTTGCTGGAGGAGTTAATAAAAAGACTAGAAGGGGTAACTGATGCTTATTTTTTGTCAGTCCTAAATTACTAGGGTTACTAAACATTTAATTCATATTGTTCTTAAAATGTTAGTCTTAATATTAGCCATTTTCATAACTTATGGTATGTCATGAGCTCTGAAAAAAGTATACTTTTTTCCCCCTTGCATTCTTCATACTGTGTGCTGAATTTGCATGCACAAATCTCATATTTGCTAAAGTAATTATTTTAAAGCAATATTTTGATATAGGGGTCACTGAACAGATTAACGGGGGAATTTTCAGAATTTCATAGCTTAGCAAATGTTGTAAGCCAAATTAGTAATTGACACCAAAAGTAAACCTTAGCTCCAAGCTAGTGCCTCATGCAGTTACAGGTTTTTTTCATGTCCCTAAATTAATTTATTATACTCAAAATTCAAGTACACTAGAAGTGTTGTGGCTCTTAGGCCTTATCAAAAATATAATATAGCTTTTTTTTGATCGTATAAAAGGTAGAAAAGTTGTGGAAAGATGGTGTGCGCAAGATTTTTTAAGAAGGGTTTGAAGTATGAACTTTCTGAGAAGGGAATGTGAGAGGATATCTCAAAGGCAAGTAAGCCTCCTCATGAATATGTTTTAGAGTCCTAAACTGTATATCAAAACAAATATTCCCAAATTCAGTATCTTCTGCTACTACTTGAGCTCCTTCTCAGCTCTCACTGTCCGACTGCTGCCCAAGCACTTACTTATGGAGTTCTTTTCTGCCTTTCCCAGCAGAACTCCACAGTCCAGGCACCCAGGAGCTGTCCTCTAGTCAGCAGTTCCCCAGTGATTCACCCCTTCCCTGGCCAGATGCCTCCTACAGGTATCTAGCTCAGCTATCCTCAGGTATTCTAGATTGCATTTTCTATTATATGGGATTCTTAATTTTTTTTTTTTTTCGTAACTAATGTGTTCTGTTTAATCTTTTGGGAGAACTTGAACTATTATATGGGATTCTTAATTTTTTTTTTTTTTGTAACTGATGTGTTCTGTTTAATCTTTTGGGAGAACTTGAGTAAAAAGTTGAATTTTCCTTTCTTTGCTTCACCAATTTTTGATACCAGGTTAATGGAAAGAAACCAAGATGCAGGCTGGCAAAAGAACCTGTGTTGTGTAACATGGGGTGAGAGTAATCTCTCAAACAAAGTGCAGCTAGTCAACTGGGCATCTCAGAGTTCAGAGATCCTTAGGTTTGCATCCATTAAGTTATTTCGATATCTACAGTTTTTCTTCTATGTTTGCACAATAGTGCCTCTGTCTATACAGAAATGAAATGTGTTGAATGCTATTTGAAGTCAAAACGCGTGATAAGAATGTGCTAAACATAACATTCAATTCAGCACAAAGCCCTTTGTATGGTATTTTAGTACATACAGCTTTCACCCTGAAAATGGAAGATCTGTATTCTAGGCCGCTCTTTCTGAGGGAATCCAGACCTGCAATTCTCGTGCAAGTTTCCTAACTGACTGGCCGTGATCTAGCCTCCATGAATGCACTTTACATCTCTTTTTGTAGGACTGTACGAAATCACGAATGTGAGATTTTAAAAACCATAAAGAAAGCAAGCAAGCAAGAGTCATGACAGCACTCCCTTCAAGCAAAGGAGTTCTAGTCAATGCTAACTGTATGCATAGTCATGGGATTAGGTACTAGAAATCAGGATGCCTGCCTTTGCAGTAAATGCCTTCATTACTAGACTATAGCGTCAAGTTCTTCTTTCTTGTTATTTGTCAAGGACTCTGCAAATCTAACCTTTTCATTATAAACATGAGAGCTGAAAGGATTCAGTTTGGCTTTTTTTGCAAGGTTGCTTTTTCTAGCAAGTAATTAAAATTAACAATTCAGAAATTTCTAAAAAGAAACTACATCCATTTTAAGTGCTATAATGTTTACATTACAACAATATAGAAAAAAAAAAGGCACTGCTTCTGTAATCCTAGTTTGTATTCACTTAGAATATGCTGTTCAATTCCTTTTTTTTTTTCCTGCCTTAGTGCAAACTGCTTGTGAACTTTTTTGTTACCCCTATGGGTTAGTTGCACTGAGTGTAACTACTATTTGGCATCATAAATACTGTGTGATATGGAATAACAAGGAGGTGCCACTGTTGTGTTTTTTGCTATTCACTTCAGTGGAAGTGTTTGCCCTTGTGCATTATTCTTCCAAAGCAATTGTTAGACGTTATAAAGTGATTGATGTTTTGAATACGAAAACACAAAGCATGCTAAAGTGAGTTGACAACTATTTTTCTAATTATTTTGGTGTTTACAAGATCATCTATAAAAGAAAAAGTAGAGCTAAATCTTCAGTGACACAGTGCTAAACTGAAAACACACGGCACTGTTTGAATTGACCTTTCATAGACCTCATCAGGTAGAGGTGAGCTGGTCTGTGGGTTCTGCAGCACAACCTACGGTATGTAAATATAGATCTTTGTTCAGCGGGGGAACAGAGCTTTCCATGACTCTCTGTGTACCCGTTCTCGGATGCAAAAAATCCAGAGATAGGTTTTAGGTATGTGCATGATTCACTACCTGAAAGCCCGCTGCAATCTTTGATGCGGTGTATCTGAAGTATCTGGTTTGGAACAATTTTCAGGTTCATGTCAGTAAATAAATCTACACATGATTATCTGTGAAGTAACCTGACAGCTATAATCAGTATTAGATGGTGGTTCTGAAGGTCTTGAAGTATAGCAAATATGGAAAAGATAGGAACATCATGTCTAATGATGATAAAAGGGTAGGTAAGTAGCAGAGGCCATGCTTAAACAAAAATATCTTTGCCAAGGAACAAGTAAAGCTGTATAAAAAAAAAACAAACCAAAAAAACAAAACCCAAAACCAGGAGGGCTGTATCAGTCAAGGATATTTTGTCATGTAATCAACCTTAACGTCTTTCTTAACCTGGCCTATGTTTCGATTAAATACATAGTTCTCATCAAGAGTCCATCTTGTTAAACACAGTGGAAACGTGTGTAGAGTCGTTTTTAATTGTACAGGCTTAAAGAATATAATTTAGCCTACTTTAGAAATCATGGTAATGACTTTCATCCAGCTAGAAGGGAAAAAGTAAAAGTAAACTCTTCTTGAGAGTTTTTAACCTGTCACTGCCATCTAGCGTTTATAAAGTCAACATCGGTTTAGTGAAAAGTTTAAGTTCAGTTTCACTGAATAGAATCAAAAACTGTGAGAATGTGAGAGATCTTTTAGAAGACACTAGGAATGTTTATAGTTTTTGTTTATCATGTGAATCACTTCAAGTGCAGTTCAAAACAAATATTTCATGTAATGATACATACACTTAATATGGCTAATTAAAATGATTAAAAGGTTACCAGGTTTGCTCCTGTTTCTTAAGTTACATGTAAGTTATGTGTGCATGCTCCTTATCTCTTAAAGTAAGAATCAATTTACATAGTACTTCTTTTCATAACAGTTCTCAATGAGCTTAATAGTAATTTCCATATAATTTTATCATTATATATATAATGTCACCAACCTTTGTTTATAATATTAAATAACACTCTAGTAACTTTGAATGAAGCAGAATCTTAGAGTGTTCAGTTGAGCTCTCAGGAGATGAAAAAAGTGAATTAAATTAAGAATGGAAAACCAAATGCTTCTGAGTAAGCATCTTATTTAAATGGGATGCACAGAGTCAGAGACATGATCATCTTAATATCTAGTCACCTCGAGGACTGAGAGAAACTCTTTTGAGGAGTTACACTGCTGCTAGGTCTGCCATATTGTTTCTGTGGTTTTACCAGCAGGGTGTATGAACCAGCTTACCTTTATAAAATGGTAATAGTAATACTGACTGCATTGATAGGAAGTAGTGCAAAAGTACCTGAGTAGATAATAAATTGATACTAATAAAGCTTTGTGAGATTTTTGGATAGAATGATTAATAGCAATGTGGACAGCATTAATGTATTTGACTTTCACATAGATACTTTCTTTCCTCTTGACAGAGCAGTTGGTGCTCTTTCAGACAGCAAGGATTTTGTAGAAGATCTCCTGAAAGGAAAAAACGTGGATTTGTCTTTTAAAGGAATCGATCACTTCAAAAATCAAGTTGGATTTGTGAAGTTGGCAGAAAATGATCATACAACTGTACTTATGGAAATAGCAGGTACAACTTGTCGATCTAGTTTAAGTGCTTTAAAGACATTTTGGCAACCTGGATGAGAGTGGAGCACAAAGATAAGTTGGTGTGAATTTAGGCAACATTAATTTACCTTTAACAACGGCAAAGGCTGCATGATGAATATCCCAGCATAGTTCAAAAGGATATTAATAAGTTAGAAACAGTACTGTTATCTGATACCTTTTTATTTAGTATATGTAAAAAATGTAGTGCACGTTTGTAGATGGATATAAAGACTCCATTCTACCTTGTTTTGCCCCAAGTACTGTCTGCTGTTTCTCAGCTGGTATTTGTACCCCTTTCAATTTTTATATTCATACTTACTGACTTTAAGAATGTATCTTTGATGCATCTTACCTGACTTCCAGAGTTATATACCTCTTTTCTTTGTGTTCATATGGAGTAGGGCACTGAGAGAGTGACATTCTTTCCTCTTCTGTGGCCTGGGGAGTCTTTTAAGTTTTGTGTTTCCTGTATGTTATACATATCACTCTTAAATCTCAGTGAATTAACTGTAACTTAACACTCCCACATGTATAAGTGCATATATGCACACACACATGTATGTATATATATGTATTTTATACATGAGGTTCCATTTATGTGTAAAGTAAAATCTGGACTTTTTCTGCACTCCTGGAGGTTAAGGGAAATTCAGGAGAAGGACATGGCTCATCTGCCAGAGGACTGGAGTTGGATTCCATGGTGCTTTAGCCTGAAATTATGGAATCAATCTGCGGCTTGTTCAGTGTTACTTGCATTCCTTTAGCAATTAGGAAGTTACTGAAAGATGTGACAGGTTCATGTTACTATGCATGTGCACCCACATGTTCACTTTAAGAGCAAAATTCTCTGTTCTGTTTTCACAGTGGAGCTAAGGCCACTGCCTTTGACAGTCAGATAAAATGCATCCAAAGATCCAGCTCAAGTCAGTAGGAATATATAAATTAAAAGGAGTGTAAATATCAGCTGAGAAACAGCAGTCACTCCTTAGACCAAAAGAAGGTAGAGTGGAGTTTTTTATCTGTCTGAGTCTATACTTCAACTATGTTGTTTACAGATACGAAATAATAATTCTCAGTGAACAGTACTGCCTGTAATTCACTGGTGTCCTTTGAAACTATCCCGGCAATTCCAACTATTCCTTGGAAAGACTCTTTAAAAGAGTTTTTCAGTATTGATGAATTATCTTTTGTGCTCTGAGGAATGTGAGGTCACACCATTTTTTAATAGTGCAATAGCCCATATAGGACATTTTGCAGAGTAGCAAAGACTGCTGCTGTCACGCTACCTCTTTGCAGTCCAGTACAGAGAAAAAATGGAAAAAGGCTTTATTAATACAATGCTTTCTCTAGCAATTCATTAGTTTAATTTCTGAAGTGCCTCTAGAAAATGTTTAGTATTTTTTAACTTGTATTTTAAAGAAAGGTTGAATAGAAGACTGTGAGCTTTTCAGCTTAACTAATTGCTTATGCTGTTCTTGGGCAATGCTTTATTATTTTAAGTAGTGCTCAGTATTTCTAATATTCAGTGTGGTAGAAATTGAACAGTACTTACAGTTCCAGAGAGGCTTCGGTTGTCAAATAATAAATCCCGTAGTTATTTCAAAGATTGAATCTACCAAGTGCTTTGGATGATATGCTTCCTCATCCTTGTCTTTGAGTCTATCTTTAGATTTCTTTTAAAGGTGACAGAATATTGTATGTATGTTGTTTTAGAAACTGTTCCCTTTCAAATACCTCTTGTGAAAGGAGATGAATGGTTTCTACTAGTGACAGTAACTTTTGGTTTTGAGGAGTTTATAGTTAATTATTAAGTATTCCAAAATAATTAAAGTTGCTAGACATGGAGAGCCAAATATCTTTTAACTACAGGAAATAAAGGAGTTTGTTATGAGTGAACTTCTACACATCTGTGTTGGGTTTGCATGGCAGGGTTTTGGTAGCACGGGGGCTACAGGGGGGTCTTCTGCGAGAAGCTGCCAGAAGCTTCCCCTGTGTCCAACAGAGCCATTGCCAGCCGGCTCCAGGATGGACCCACCACTGGCCAAGGCTGAGCCCATCAGTGATGGTGGTAGCGCCTCTGGGGTAACATATTTAAGAGAGGGATAAAAAATGCTGTGCAAAAACAGTAGCCGGAGAGAGAGGAGTGAGAATCTGTGAGAGGAGCAGCCCTGCAGCCACCAGGGTCAGTGCAGCAGGAGGGGCATGAGGTGCTCCAGGTGCCGGAGCAGAGATTCCCCTGCA